ATAAAACATTTTGCCAAAGAGATTAGCCTCTATATGTTTTATTTTGACTTTGGAACAACTAATGAATACCAATTACTTAATGTGAAAAGTGTTCTAGAAGGCAGATCATATGCAGACCCACAAAACAAGTCTCAATAAGCTTAAACGAAACTGAAATCTTGCAGAATATTACAATTAATTACAATAACATCAAGTGGATTGCCTGAGCCCCAGCAATTTGGTGAGATTTTGTCTCTACAATAAATCCAAAATTAGCCAGGCACACACCTGTAGTTCCAGCCACTTGGAAGACTGAGGCAGAAGGATCGCTAGAACCCAGTAGGTAGACGCTAGGGTGGCTGTGAGCATGCCACTGAACTCCAGCCTGGGCAACGGAGTGAGACTCCAACTCAAACAACAACAACAACAAACAACATATTTAGACACATCCTCACTCTCTCTAATCCCCACTGAACCCTTTCTTCAACCTTACATCCCCTAAACCACAACCTTTCTCTCTTAATTCCCTCACATCAAAACATATTTGTTATCAAAGCGTGTATTTATTTACAATGAGAAATCACAACAAATCACAAATTGTAAAGGTTCAAAAATTATACAAAAATTTAAAGTTCCTCCTGATTTTTAAATACATAATACACCTCTTGACACAATTTTCTTTTCTCTATACACTTTTTTGATAATCTTTCCTTGTCGATTTTAAAATATTGGTTTCTATAATGAATACAGAGAAAGAATATATAAATAATTCAATTTCCCTACAATATAGTTGATTAAAGTATGTTTTTTGCTGTAGATAGTTTATAACAGTTGTATTCAACTTCATTATTCATTATTGTGGCAACCTCATAAAAACTATTATCAAACCTGAGAAAAGTTTTATGACATTTCTTTTAAGCTGTAAGATTTGTAACAATTCTCCTCAGACTAGCTTCTGGCTCCAAATGAATCAGTATCTGTTTTCTTCTACTATTTACTTAATCCCATGGTAGATGGGACTGCATATTCAAACCATGATACTACTTCCGGCCCGAGACTTTTATGCCAGGCTGCCCAGTGAGTTGGAGTGTTCTGGGCAATTCCACTAGGAGAACTAGCAAGATCCAGACTTCACATAGAAGTGACTGCAAACCACATCACTGTATCTCATTAAACCCAAACCAAATATATTCCACAAATCAACTTCCCCTTAGTTAAGTTTTTTTTAAAAGTTCTCAGTTGCTCCAAAGCCACTTGATCTGAGAGGAAATATGATGAAGGAGAAGTCAAAATGGAAAAAGACAGAGGTTACAACCCCTGTAAATTTTTTTTAAATATAAGTAAATTCATTTTTCTAAGGCCCCTAACAGGGTTTTAGAAGGGCTTGTTCAATAAAGTCTTTGAAGCCTGAGTTTCACTAAGCTCTGTTCAGTGGAATATTATTTTCACAAAAAAAAAAACTGAGAAATAAGAAAAACTCTTTGTCCAAAGACACTGTTGTTGAAATTATCATTATCTTTGCCATAATAACTAGGACTCATCAAATGCTTAGAATTAACTGAACACTTTACATTTAATCCTCACAACATCTCTCTATAAGTAAGGTTCTACTATAAATCCCACTTTGTAAGTGAAGAAAATGAGGCAAAGAAAGATTAAATCGCTTTCCCAATTACATAGCTAATTCAAGATGGGCCTGTAATTGAAGGCAGGCAGCCTGTCTCTGGGGCTCACGCCTCTTTTCAGAATGCTAAACTGACACAGGAGCTTAGTGATCATGGCGGGGAGTTTGAGCATGAGTATGTGTTGGGGCGAGAGAGGGAAGAATAGATGAGGAAAGAAAATGTTGATACCCTCTTCAAATTGACTTTATTTCATCTCTCTTGGGTGCAGTGGTTATGGAGCAGCATAAAGGTCAGTCACTAAGACTCAAATGAAAAACTGACTCAGCTAAGATTTAAAAGCCTTAAAACTCCCATGTCAGAGCTTCGTCTTCCATGATCAAATTATCAAAAGTATCACAACCCATATCCTGAAGGCATTTCCTTCTTTCATTACCTCGTCTAACATTCAATTCTCAAACCACTGAAAAATGAATTTGCTTTTTAGAGCTGTGGCAAAACTAGTCTTTCCCAGTGGCCAATAACTTCTTGGTTATTAGGTCAAACAGATACTTTTCACACTGTCTACTGAGCACCTAGCAGCGACATAACACTTTGTTTCCTAGCAAAGACAACAGAAATGCAAATCACTGCTTAGCCACTTAGTACCTATTTGATGAATCAGTTCACATGTGTCTGTTTTCCAGTTACAAAATGAAAATAGACCTACTTACAGAATTCTTTTTTTTTTTTGAGTTGGAGTCTCACTACATCACCCAGGCTGGAGTGCAGTGGCATGCTCACCACCATCCCAGCGTCGATCTGCTGGGCTCCGGGGATCGTTCTGCCTCAGCCTTCCAAGTAGCTAGAACTACATGTGTGCACCATCACGCCCAGCTAATTTTGGATTTATTACAGAGATGAAGTCTTGCCAAGGTGCCCGGGCTGGTCTCAAACCCAGGCTCAGGTAATCCACTCGCCTCAGCCTCCCAAAGTACTGGGATTGCAGGCGAGCCACCGAGCCCGGCCTACTTACAGAATTCTTAGGATTCAAAGAGATAGGTGGGCTCGGTGGCTCAGTCTGTAATCCCATCTTAGTGACAGAGTGAGACTCCAACTCAAAAAAAAAAATATATATATATATATATATAAAGCAATTTGAAAAGCACCTGAGACAGCAAGCTCATAACAGTTTTTGTAATTCATCACTCTTTCAGGTATCTCTCCTTCCTTCTTTCACTCACTCCCTCAACATGATTCTCTCTTCTTCCCATGTTATGCTTTGGCCCAAACCTCCCTAAGTAGGCGACTTTTGAGCTCCAAATCCCCAAATCTATTTGTCTATTGGACATTGCCATTTTGATACACTCAAAGACCTCTAAAACATATTCAAAATTAAACTTTAAATGTATGCCTCCTATTGTCTTCTCCAGGTTGGCCAAGAACTAGAAACATAAATATTTCCTAAACTTCTCTCTGTCCCTCTGCTCTAATTGTTCTCCAAGCCCTGTCAATTCTGCTTCCTTATCCTGTCAGGCCTGAAGCAAATCATCCAGATTCAAACTCTTGCTTTACAAACCCTTATTAGCGATAGGATCTAAGGCAAATTACTTAACTTTTCTGAAATACAGTATCCTCATCTACAGATAAGAAAGAATAACAACTATTTCATAAGTCCTTATGATGCTTAAATAGATTAATATATGCAAAGCACTTAAAACACTACCAACATATGGAAAGAGCTCAATAAATGTTAACTTTTGTTACTATCATTACTATTTTTTCTCTCTCCTTCCCATAATCCCCACTAGCAAACATCAGTATCAACTCTCATCTAAATTACTGCAACTGCCTGTTAACTAGATAAATATCCTTCCTTTAATGGTGTCTTCTCCAACATAATCTTTAATCTAGAAGACAAAGTAGTCTGAACTCAAAGTGAATTGTATCTTTCTCCTGATACAGGCTTCTCATAGTTTTTCAGGTAACATCCAAATTCCTCAACATGCACATAAGGGCTGCTTTTATCTAGAAGGAAAGTACAATACAATCTGTCATCCAGTAAGTTCCAACTCAACTTTCCTGCTCTCTCATGTTCACATATCACAATACTAATACCATGCTTATTAATTAGAAACCCCACAGAAACATGATTACCTCTAGTTCAGGACTATATTTTTCATTTTTATACCTCAGAAACATATTCCAACGTACCACAGAAGAATGCAATTAATGTTTGCTAAATGAATGCTGTGTACCTAAGAACAGCTTATTGAAATATTGTCTCAACTGTTATGACAAACATAAAAATCATTCCTAAAACAGCTCTCATAAACAAACTCAAAATAAAAATTTGCATTCCTTTTAGAAGGAAACAGGATTTCTAGTTAAGAAAATTCTTACCTAGGTATATTTCTTGCTATAATCGTAGCCTTGCTGTAGGGATCTAAATCTCCTTTGTGTAATTTACTCAGTAGCTGAACTTCAGACATGCCACTGACTTCCTTTATTAACTCACGTGAAATATCAATTCCACTTCACAGTGATATCCAAAGCAATTCAACTAGGGAAGTTGACAGCTTGATGTTGAAGGCACAAGACCAGTGTTTTACCCAAAATGCAGTCACTTGCTATAAGCCTCTGACTTAGTTTTGCTTTTCCTTTCAAGTTAGTTACACGGTTTGGCAGAGAGGCACGGAAGTGGCAGGATGGATTATTTAAAAAGTTTTATTACAAGGATCAATAAACAACATTCTTCTAAGAAACTGAAACTTAACCCTTTTCTAATTCGCTTTTGTACCTGTAAAGGGAAGTTCTGAGGTCTGTGAAAACTTCACTAACAAATGCCTTTACCGGGATGGGGGGAAAAATGCCTTTACCACTGGACTTTAATATGTAAAAGCTATTGGGCCAGGCGCGGTGGCTCACGCCTGTAATCCTAGCACTTTGAGAGGTAGAAGCGAGAGGATCACCTGACCTCAGGGGGTCAAAATCAGCCTGAGCAACATGGTGAGAACTCGTCTCTACAATAAAGCAAAAAACACAACCGGGCATGGAGGCACATAACTGTGGTTCTAGCTACTTGGAAGGCTGAGGCATAAGGATCGCCTGAGCCTGGCAAGTCAAGGCTGCGGTGGCCGTGTTCGTGCCACTGCACTCCAGCCTGGGCGACACAGTGAGACTTCAACTAAAAATTAAAAAATAAAAATAATTCAAAAACCTATTAGGGGAAGGGCGGGGCTAAAAAATTAGGTTTTACTTTTTAACATCTTTGGCAGCTTTAATACTGTGCAGACAAATGATACCCAAAAGCTTCTTACTACAAGATCTATCTGTGGCCTCCTCCCTTCGCCCCCTAAATACTGGAAAGAAACAATAACTGAACGAATGTTAACTTGTGCATCGTAGATTCCATCTTACTTCTCAAACCTCCAGGCTGGGACACACACTACTATCAATTTTTCATTTTAGTCCGTGCGGGTCAATCCTCCCAAAGCCACTGAGCTCCGTAAGGACGGTGACTTGAACGTAGTAGTGTCTGCTGTTCCCAAAACGCCAGGCAAGATGCTGAACACAGTAGGTGCAAGGTAAAGACACGTAAGGAGGGCTTCTCTGCAACAATTAAATCAAAATTTTACCTAAAGTACACCCGTCTGATACCCACGCAACAAAACCCAAACTTACCTCGAAATCCACCCACCCGCGCTCTGGAAAGAAAACTAGGAGTGTTTAGATGGGCGCGTCCGTGACGTCACGCGCACGACGGCGGCGCAGCTCCGCGCATGCGTGTAGCGTCGCTACTTGGTAACAAGGCGCTGGTTCCCACCCCATCAGGGGAGAAACGGCGTAAAGGTTCCTAGGCCTAAGGCGCACTGCGGGTTTCACGAAAGAGGGTATTTAGAGCAGGCGAAGCCAGGGGGAGCGTCGGAACTCGCCACAGGCCCTACCCCGTCCGGTCCTTTCCCCTAGGAATTCGTGCCGCTCTTTTTCACTCCGCCCCTCGTCAACTTCCCGCGTTCGTGGCAGGAGGCGCCCACAGGGGAAGTCAGGCGGGTCCGAAGGGGCGGGGTTTGAGAACCTCTTCGGTAACTGGAGGGTCCTGGGGGCAGGGCTACTTTCACTGCCAGTTCTTTACTCTTCGTTGGGAAGCACACAAATACAGCTTTCACAAGGAAAGATTTACAAGGATAACAGTGTTTAATTGCATAGCGATTGTTGGGCATTGGTATCATTCCACCAAAGAGGCTATTTACAGACAGATTTGATTCACCTTGCCATGCGTTTATGAGGCTATGATTTTGTGGTATAATTCATAAGATGTTGTTAAACGTGAATCCTCTGCGAATTTGATAGATCCCTTCAATTCCTTGGTTTAAGTGAAACCACTTAAGAATGAAACCATAATTGATAAAGAATAAGCGAGTATATTCAAGGCAGGTTTGAACTAAAATGTCAGCTTTACATGCACATTTGCAGAAAGAAATAGAAAACTATTTTTTTCTTTTTCTTTTTCGTAGTGTTGAATGTGCTTCGTATCAAGCCTGTGTCTGCATATACGAGGGTTCCCTGCAGAGATCCTACAATGCTTGGCCACCAACAAGGACTTTCACTGAACTTAACAGATTCCTCTTTTCTTCTGTACCCTGAAGATTTTCTGTTGTTGAAAACAGTAAGGGACGAGGAGTTCTTGTTCCCCTCATTTTACAGGTGACAAAACGAATGCTGACCCTGGGAAGTCCAGAAAAACATGTGACCTTTGTTTTTGCACGTCCTTGTTAGTAAAATCCCGTCTGCCTGCTCATAAACTCATCTTCAAACTGAAACTGCCTTTATAAAAACCTGTAAAGTTACGTGTAAAGTTAATGCCAGTGCAGTGGCTCATGCCTGTAATCCAAGCACTTTGGGAAGCTGAGTGGAGAGGATTGCTTGAGCCCAGGAGTTCGAGAACAGCCTTGCTGGGCAACCGCAAACTATTTTTTAAGGACTTTTTTTTTTTTTTTAAAGGAAGCATTCAGCGCTAGTCCATCCTCCCTTTCCCCTTCCCCGCCCAGTATTTATGTACCATGGGACTTGGATCCTGACCACTTTCATCTCCCCTCCCTCATCAGTCATATATCTTCTCTCACTGTATCTTCCACTTTCCTTCTTTACTTGTTCTTTGCTGTCAGCGTTGAAACCTATTCTTCAAGGTCTCCCTCTCACTCAGGCTGGAGTTCAGTGATGTGATCATAGCTCACTGTTACTTTGGAACTCTTGGGTTCAAGCGATCCTCCTGCCCAGGATTACAGGCATGAGCCACCTCCACTGGTGCCAGTAGCCTAAACTTTTTAAGGGCAGGGATAATTGTCTATTATCTAGAGCTTGTGCAATGTCTGGCACATTGTGGGTGCTAAATATTTGTTGAATGAAAAAATGCTCTGGAACTGTTTCTCTTTCTTTACATCTTCTACCCTTCCATTCTACTCTCACCACCATCACATTCACTGAGACTGCCCTTGACAAAAGCTCTGAAGACCTCTTTGCTGCTAAGCCAGAAGGATATGTTTAGTCTCATCTTTTTGAAAGCATTTTCATTTTGCTACAATGTGGTCCTGGTTTTCCGCTTACCCTCCATCAATTGAATCTTTAATTTTTCCCATCCTCTATTTTGCCAGTAAACATTCATATTCTCCAGCATGTGATAAAGGTGTCTAATAGAACTATACATAACTCCTTTTTTGTTGTTAAGGTGATTGTTCTCAATTTCTGTAGCACACAAAACACTTTCTACACATCCAAGTAGTTTCCAATCTTGTTTCTTTTTCATAATCTCCCAGTTACTGGCAAAGCTGGAATGCATCTGGATCCAGATATTATACTATTTCCTCTCACATTAGCAATTAGTTTCTACAAATGAAGAAAAATGTACATGATATATGGTAAAATTTAAGATCATAAGAAAAAGAGATTTAATCAACTGGATAAGGCACTGAAGACATTAATGCCAAAACAACCAATTACTCTTTTTCTGTGTCTATTGAAGCAGCATAAAAAAGCTACGCTAAGGTTAGCAACCAATGTAATAACTATTAGAAGTTACAATTGTTAAAGGTACAATGAGAAAAGTTTTGATATAAAATCTACAAGGCAAAAATATTCTTCAATTTTAAGAAACGTTAAAATGAGATTCTCACTAATAAACAATGAGCACCAGAAATTAGATGGATATTTTTCAGGTGATGCATAAATGAAAGGATTCAGTGCAGTTATATTATATGTAATAAATCAAAGGTGAAAGAAATTAATCTGCAAATTTCTGGCACTTCTTCCTTCTCATTAGCATTTTCAAATTGTTCTTTACCATTTACTTTTTTATTGTCTAAATGTCACATTGAATTGCCTAACAAATTCAACACTTCAAGTTCATTTTCTTTGCATCAGTTGTGGTGTGATTAATCTATTCCTATTTGCGATCTATGTATCCTGCAAACAGTGGTCATATTGCATCCCTGACAATATATCTTCTACTTACTCCTGAGATTTTCTAGCAATAATAGCTAGGCTCCATTGATTGGAGTTCATTTCCTTGTCTCTAGTAGCACTTCTGCTCCATCCTAATGAATGAATGTTTAAATTGATTTATAAAATCCTATTTCAATAACACATAAAATTTATATGTTGTTATGTAATTGAGCCAAGAGATAATTCAAACATAAATTTGATATAAATTTATGTTTAAATTATAAATTTAAACATTATAACATTATAAATTTAAACATAAATTTAATCACTCAATGCATAATAGGAAGATAATAAAGATATTTTAAAGACATAATACTGGGTATCACAAATTGAGAATAACATTGGTGTCTATTGAAGAGATCTCTCAAAAATTTGGAGGCTTTAATAATAAATTTTTTTAATTTACATGTATAGCTTCCAGTCGTTTCATACCCTACTCATTTAAAAAATTGTCTTTTGTGTCAGAAAAAAGCCTATACTCAAATGTGAATTATGAACTATAAATACAGCAATATTTTATAGTATATTGATTTATATAAGTAAATGATAAACATGTGCTTTTTTTGTTCAAAGACCACAAGAAATATGACTTTCAAAAAATAGAATAAACATTTCTTCACATATAACATTTAATATGTAAAAAACAAGAACAAAAACATTATATAAATTCAATGAATGTTCAGGGAACATTAGCCAAGTGCCTTAGATGGAGCACAGCCCTGGATCAGTAAATTTGCAAAACCATGCTCAGTCCTGGTTTGTTTGGAGCTTGTAATGAGACAGAATTATTTTAATATTCAGAGAACAGAATGCAAAATTTTAATTATTATTTGAGATAAAAAGGACAGTATGTGGTACCAGAAAATTGTATAATGGAAGAAACTGACATAGATAAAAAGATCACAGCAGGCCTTCCTGTTGAAGTAAGAATTAAGCAGAAACTATAATATTGCAATATAATGATGGCAAGTTGTTTCTCTAAAGTAGATTTGAGTTCTATTACAATATATAACTTCCAGCATAAAGTACACTAGGACAATCAATACATTTTTAAACTACTTCTTGTTAATATTTCCTAAATTCTGTATTCACCCTTTATTTTTATCTTCATGTCAAAGCCATCACTTTTGCTATCTATAGGCTGTAGACTGTAACAGATACAACCCTCACACTGGAAATTATTTTATGTAATCATGTTCAGATATTAAGTGTGAAAATATGAGAATATGCTCAGAATGAGACTCTGGTGAGCCTGGCTCACATTAAACAAACTCACATTGGTATAAAAAGAAAACCTGAAGCTGGGCTCGGTGGCTCAGCCTGCAATCCCGCGCCTTTGGGAGGCTGAGGTGAGTGGATTGCCTGAGCCCCCAGGTTCGAGACCCGCCTGGGCAGTGAGACCTCATTTCTACAATTAATCAAAAAATCAGCTGGGCGTGGTAGTACATGCCTGTAATTCCAGCTACTTAGAAGGCTGAGGCTGTAGGATCCCCAGAGCCCAGTAGGCGAGGCTGCAGTGGCTGGGAGCGGCCATTGCACTCCAGTCTGGGTGACAGAGTGAGACGCCAACTCAAAAAAAAAAAAAAAGAAAACCTGATAATACACATGTACTAAATTCCAACCAAAAATTTTAAAGTATTGGCTATATTTATAGAATATGACATTATCTTTATATAAACATTTATGAAAAGCCAAATTACAAACACTCCATTACTGGGAAAGTATAGAATTTCAACAGAGAAAGTTTATTTGAGCAAAAACATGGAACCAACCATGCTGCCCATCAAAACTGGACTGGATTTTTTAAATGTGGTAAAATATACATAATGGAATACTATGCAGCCATAAAGAAGGACAAACATATCGACTTCGCAACAACTTGAGTGGATTTAGAGTTGATCATATTCAGTGATCTATCACAGAAACAAAGAACAGAGTACCATATGTTCTCACTCATAAGCATACCTTGAGCAATTATCATAATACTGTAAGAAAGGGATTGGCAGTAGTGGGAAACTGC